CACATTCGCAGTTGAGAAGTGCGATGTAGTTAGCGCATGCCACGCCTACTGCGCATGTCTTTAACCCAAGCGTAGTGTCAGCCTCATTTAAGCGTAGCATCAGATCGCTCGATGCTACAGCAGAGGCTAGCAAGTGAACTCAGGCTTAGGCTCACTTCTTAATGTGCCCTAACTACATCGTACTTCTCAACTGCGAATGTGAACGAACGAAATGCTGTTTTCATTTTACTGACCTTAAATGCAAGATTACCTTGCAAACCGAAGACAGATTCTGATGGACATTTTGATTCACTATAAAAAGTGTATTCTCAGTTTCGTCAATACTCGTTCCGTATACATTAATCTATTCTCTTAATCACTGAATCTCACCCGACTCCATATTTTTACTCACCTCAGAAGCACATCCTATCAGATAATTTAGCACTATACCAACTGGAGGATGATTCCGTTGCAGTTTCTCATAGACTTCTAAACTCATGTATACTGACCAGCACCCACAACTGTCAGATGGAATGTATTCATAAATACTGCATTATTCTTGGTGTTCGAAGGAACACCATGAATAATGCAGCATTTAGTCTTAGGCTTATGCTTAAGCTGAAGCCTAGGCTTAGGCTTGTCAACTGAGAATGTGAACGAACGAAATGCTGTTTTGATTTTACCAACCTGAGCTACAACATTACCGGGTCGAGTGATTGGGGGCTTAGTCTCAGGCTTAGGTTTTTTTTAGTGTTAGCACGAGATCTCATATCTCTTAATTAATGGGAACATCACTAATGTACCAGGTTCTGCTGATCGTGAGGTTCATCACGGGGCTTAGGCTCAGGTTTGCCCCGAGATCCACTTCTTCTAACAATAGAGCTTAAGCCACAAAGGCCAATCTCATCCAGAGTTCAGGCATTCGCTTGCAGCACCGACACTACTCACATCGGGGTGAATTCAGTACTCTTCATTATATTACATAGTACGCGCTTTGTCATATGCTTACACAATGGTGAGCATGCGTTCGCATGACTCAAGAATCGAACCGAAACGAACTTTTTTAGCACTTGTCAGGGTATCACTTATCACGGATCGAACTGTTATAGACTCGTCTGGGAATTAAATGTTAAAGTTGCTCCCAAGACCGGAAATGATCTGAATGTTATAGTTTTGCTTCGGCTGCTTCAAAAAAAATCCGAAAAGAGTGGTTAATAAATACCAGCTTCCTGCTGACCCGCAAAATCCGATTTCCGCAATCAAGGAGTAGCCATTCAGTTATTACACCTCGGTGTTTCTTACAGCTTTCGAAGTCTCATTTATTAGCTATGCAAAAATTTCATTGTTTCTTTAAAATATCGTGATTGCAACTGTTCACGCGACCAGTTTTTCATCGTAGTATATCGCGTTTTTGAGCACATCTGAACAAAATTTTCTATCATCGTTAGTTTTTAGCGTCTTAACTTCTTGAGTAAATTATTAAAAGTGCAATAAAAAGTAGCTAAATGCATAGACACAAAATGCTGCTTCATTTTCAGGTTGCGGCTTATTTTTCAACGATCATGGGTGCCCGAGGATTCCGAATAATAAGCCGCAACGACCCTAACCTTCCATACAGTGTAATCGTTGAGAGCAATCGACTGTGCAGCTCTCTTTTACTGGAATCGTCAGCCGCACTTACATTAGGTTTTTCTTTTGCATATCATTCATCTTATAATTGAATATCATATTCTTTTGCATATCATTCATGTCATCGTGTTAAACTTCATCTTATAATTTAGTCAGTCATAATTCTTCCCACTTTACACTGCAGTAGTTGAAATCTTCCTTAACTTTAAGAAAGAATTTATTCATTAATGTATTTTTTGCTCACAAACTCTTGAAAATAATCCACAGTGAATTGATTTCTTAAGCAAACACCCTCCTTTATGAACTCTAATGTGAATTAGGTTTCTATACCACTTTGTTCTATGCAACAATATGACGCACATTTTCCACTTCTCCTCTGTTGTCATTCTTGCTTTTCACCTCACCTGTGAATTTATTGTAGATAATAACGACTCTACTGCAGAATATAAAAAAGCTTACACCAGAGTAACCGACGGTTATGGTTTAATAGGTCTTTGGCGATTTTCTAAAGGTGACGAATTTAGCGTTTCGTTCTGCTTTGATTTTTTTTCCCTTTTCATTGCATCGTGTCCATGGAGCATTTGGTTGTTTAATTATTTTCTGATCAAGTTGCAGATGATAATTACTTATTGGTCGTGACAAGTGTTTTATCAGTGGGTCAGATTAACAACTGCGACATCTATCGAATTACGTCTGTACAATTCGTTCCACTAAAAGTACCCTCTCAAGTTGTCGATTCTCGAGTAGTTGATGTGAGTTTTATCAAAGATTGCTGGTTTTTTAAATAAATTTCTTCCTACTTCATTGTGAATGAATACGAAATTTTGAGTTTATAACTCTTCATATAAATTGATACTTATAGAACATAAGAAATCATTTTTCTCCAGTTAAATTAATTTTCCGTGGTATCCCTAGTTCCTGATGATTCTTGAACTCTTCATTTGAACATAAACTAATTCTATTTTCTTCATTATTCATCATCCTCCTTTCAGCTCCAGCGACTCATGTCTTCAGGAATGTTCTATTTTGCATCTGCTTCATCTTTCGACGTAACAGCAACTTTTGACCTGACTATTCCTGCGCACAGACGTGCTACTAACGATACCAGCAATCACGATTTTTTCTGGTCTGTCTTAGAATTCATCCTTTTAGAAATCAGTTCGTATTTGTGCGATTTATTTCGTTTGAAATGAAGTATCTGTCATCGCCATTTGATTGAAGTGCTTAATTTGCATGAATTAATTAACAAAGCTTTGACCAAATGCAGTTTGCGCTAATTCATGGCAGTTTACTTTTATTTCCATGCCTACCTGAGTGTTCAACATTTCCTCTGATCTAACTTCATCCTCTAATACATATTGTTGATAGGTAAGATTGCGTGTGTGCGTTATTCAAAACGCATGAGATTGGTTTCAAATATTTTTGTATTCAATTAAGGAATCGAAATCTTCATTTTCCTTTGGAACGCTATGGCATTGATGCGAATGAATGGTTTATTCGGATGATGTGTGGATCTGTGCAAATTCGAACTGTATATGTTGGTAATAAAACCGTTAAGTTGGCCATTTTATCAAGATTGAGTTGTCGACGAGTTGGTACACGTTTCAATGTTCGTGGTGTTGATGACAGTGGTCAAGTGGCAAATTTCGTTGAAACTGAACAGGTGCATACGTATGATTATTTGACGTTATTCATGCTCGTTCGGTTTGTGCATGTTTGCTTCAAGCATAACATCAGATAAGCGTTTTTATTCTAATTGAAAGTTGTTGCACTTTAGTTCTGAATTAAGCAAAAACTTGAAAACAATGAAAAATTGAGCATTGAATAGGTGGTAACGCAGAAAAAGGATCAGTTGAGTTCATTTCATATATAACGATTGAACAATGTTTCATGGATGATTTGCTTCAATGTTGTTTATTTCTCTTTCGTCAATTTTTGTTCTCTTTGACGATTTTATAACGAATTGTAGTACTTGAACATTGATTTCAACTTGCCTTATGTCGTTTCATTTGTAGTTACTGTCATACGAAAATTGCGAGTCATCTTTTGTGCAAGTTCGCGGATCGGTTCCACTCTTCTGGGAACAACCAGGAGTGAACGTTGGGTCGCATAAGGTCAAGCTTCGCGCTGTTGAGGCTACAGCACCCGCTTTTAACAGGTCCTTTCTATTCTTAGTGAGGTTGACGAATTGTTTTCAGTAGTTTCATACCTCTTGATGTAATTATAATAGAATTTGATGGATTAGAAATGCAGTTTTATGTGTGAATTAAAAGTTTGAAGCGCTAACGACCCAACTCATCGTTTAATTGCTATCGAATAGATTATGTGTAAACATCTCGGTTCTTCTCAAGACGAAGTATTTTATTTTTATTGAATTATGATGTCAGTTTGTTGTTTTGGGGTGCACTCTTTAGAAAACTCTTCGTTTTGTACACATCATTAATGTTTTGTAAACTGTTCGAGTAATTTTGCATTTTAGGCATTTTCGTTATCTGAAACGATCGTACGGTGATATTGCCGTTGTAAATCTTTTGGGATCGAAAGAGGGTGAACGAACGCTCTCTGATGCTTACAAGGTACGAAATGCCTTGGTGTTCATTTGATATTTTCAGTCCAGTATTCTTTGGAATTTTTTGTTTAGATATTGCTTTGAAATAAACGATTATGAAATTAACGGACTTTGGAAAACGTAATGATTAAAACCACCTGAATTGTCGAGTTGGTTCAATTTTGAAGATTTTTCATTTTCGATTGTTAATTTTTTTTCAGGAATTTTCGAATATGGTCAGACATGTGTGGGATGCTCATGTGATTTTTTCAAAAAAATACGATAAAATCACATTTAATTTTTAAACAATCACCAGTCTTTATATTTTCAGTTGCATCTTGAGAATAGTTCGCATAGAGATGTGGACTTTATTGCTTTCGATTATCATGCACGAATGAAACTTTCGAAGAGTGCACCGGATATGCTAAAGAAGAGATTAATTCCTCTACTCGACAGATTCTCATTCTTCTGCATAAAAAATTCCAATATCTTAAGGTATGTTCACTATCCAACACTTATTATTTTTACCATCCGAAGAGTTGAAGATGTGGACGAACAAATTTTCGAGAATTGCAGACTGATTTCGAGGATTTTGTTTCTATCAGACTGAAGGCTTGACTTCTGAATGTTATATCATTGATTTGACATGGAACTTGGGCAACAGTTGATCACATTGCTGCTTTAGAAACAATTATCTTTTAGTTATGAGAACTAAACGGATCGTTTTTGATAGAATTATTGATCTGTCATTAAGGTTGTCGAGTGGGAAATCAGTTTTTAATTAATATGATTCCAAATTGAATAATCATTTAGATCTCAAAATGGTGTAATTCGAACAAACTGTTTGGATTGTTTGGATCGTACCAATGCCGTACAAACGATTTTAGGTTTGCACGTAAGCCGTTTCCCATTTTATTTGCTTTTAGCTGACGTTATTCAATAAAAAGGTTGTTTCTGGTTTTGTGTACATGCCAGTGCAAGATGCATAATTTGATGGCATCTTTATATCGTCTTCTTGATTTTGTGTCAATGGTTTTTCATCTAATATATGCGTTGATTGTAGTATCGTGTTCCAAGATTAGAGTGTACTAATCTTTTTTTGTGAGCAAAACATTAATGCTATTTTGACGTGATTGTTTGACTAAATAAAAGATAATGCAGATGCTCGGTGCACAGCTGGAGTCGTTAAACATTGAGTCGAATAAAGTGAATGTAGCATTGCGTTTTGAAGAGGCGCTGAAAGACTTGTGGCAGAAAAATGGTGATTCTTGCAGTGTTGTGTATGCTGGTACTGGTGCTATCGAGGGCAAGTCCAAGGTTTGCATCTCTTTCTATTGTCTGATCATTGTCCAGAAAATTCGTTCTATTTTCAGTTCAAAGACGCCAGTCGTTCTTTAGCTCGTACGATTCAAAATAATCTAATGGATGCGTCGAAGCAAGAATCATTCGATATGCTGCTTCTTGGTTCAGCCTATGGCAACCGTCTTTTCGATCAAATTGACAGCTTTTTTCCCCCTGTTGTCACACAAGGTATATTGCTTCGCAGTCAGTTTTCGTTTCCATCTAATATTTTAGTTTGGTGGTTATCATTGCGGGGAGCAAATTTCCCTTTGGGAGGAGGTGTTTGAGAAAACAAGTGAAGGATTAGGGAGATTGGCAAATCATTTTGGTCGACTTTTTTTCGTCACAATCCTTCTATACTTACCCAATATTATTTTCAAAATATTATTTGGTCACGATGAATTGTTTTCTTTAATTCAACCGACGAATTATCGATAGCAAATTTCTCGATCAATAGATTATTTTCCTTTTTTTTTCTAGTTTCTCGCCAAGAATTAATGCATTGTCAGAGGAGGAAGGGGTTTCCGGTTACATAAATTGTTAAAGAGGGGAGGAGGAGGGATGGCGGTGCGTTATAGGGTCAACCAAAGAGAGTGAGGGGTGAGACAGCACAAAAGACTGCGATTCTTTGGCCTAGTTATTTTCAAAATGCATCACTCAGTTTGAGATACTTCAAAATTACATTCCGATATTGAAAATACTGCCTACTAGAAATAAAGGAATGAATAGATTTCAATCAGTCAGTGATATCAGGATTTTTTATGCGAGTTTTTTTTTCTGCAGTGCCTCTCTACATTCATGGTAAGTTGTTCAAATTTGAATGAATTGTTTTGTAAAAATAATGAAAGCATGTATTGATATGAGATGTGTTTTTAATTGTCATCTCATTGTTGTCTTCATTTCATTGTCGCATGCTTTTTCAATGCACATTGTTATCGTTCATTTTTGCAGTCATTCATCGTTTTGATTTTATTATACCAGTTGTGATCTGAATGAGATAACTTTTGAATCAAGGTTTTTCGTAGTTCTGTTAGTTAATTGGCATCACATTTTCTGCTATATCGATAATATGGATAACTGCCTTCAAATCTTTGTTTTGAGAATGTGAAAGTATAGTGGAATCGTTGGTGGAGCGTTCAGACGAAATGGTCAACATTTTGCCAATAACCATTTTTGTGGGAACGTGGAACGTGAACGGTGGTAAAAATATGCATAATATCGCATTTCGAAATCAAGCACCTCTCACCGAATGGCTTTTTCCAAATGAACAGCTAAGTGAGCTGGTTTTTTTTAAAAAATTGATTTATATGTTTCTGTTTGTGAATACATTTATTCATCGGCCGTTCAATGACTAGTATATTTTTGAGTGGATTCTGAAATTATTTGTGTTGAAGAAGATAATTTTTTGGCAAAGATGATCATCAATTAGTTATTGAGTGAAAATATTATTGTGCAAACTTTCAGAAGTTCGACTGATTTTTTTACTAAATCAGATTTATAATTTTATAGTGCCAAATCAGGTTTCCTTGCATTATAGTATCCTTGCACGACTCCAGTTTTCATGCGGACATTGTTGCGATTGGATTGGAAGAGATTATTGATTTGAATGCATCGAATATTGTCAAAGCGAGGTATTTTCAGTTCGACCCTGCTCTTGCTGTCGAATATTTTTTCATTTTATTCAATAACTTCTATATAAATCGGTATCCTCGGCTGGAATTACGAAGCTGAATAATATAATTCGTATTTATTCGATTATGTAATTCTTAATTTCAAAAAAAAAATCCTACTGTAATTTCCGTTCTGAAAGATTCGAATTAATTTTGTTCATAATTCGTTGAATGCAGCACCACAAATCAACGATTATGGTGCGACGGATTAAGAAAAGCACTAGCACAAAGAGGTCATTACGTGCTGCTTGGATGTGAGCAATTGGTCGGTGTTTGTTTGTTCGTTTTCGTTAAGCCTGGTATAGTACCCTTCATTCGTGATGTTGCTATCGATAGTGTAAAGACAGGTATTTCATTTATTCACCCGCGTAATCTTTTATTTGCGTGATCGAAATGTTCCCTTTTCTTTTGATTATTTAACACATTGAAGCCAGACTGCATTTTCTCCTTGAAGTGAAAAATTCATGTGTATGTGTCTGCTTGGAATTCATGGATGTTTTAACTCTCATGGAAGAGATCGATCCATTAGTCGATTATTATCATTTCATTGATCGCTTGAGATTTTGTTTTACTGCATATGAGAGGTGAAATGGTTTGTAAGATTATAGGAATGCACTATATAAGTTTATTGCTGTGGGAGTAAACATGTTACTTGATTGTTATTTCACTTATTGTCATTTTGTTTACTTTCGTTTCGAGGACCTCAATTTGTCATTTCATTTATTCGTTTGATGTGGATGTTATAGTGTAGTGATCTCTTAAGGTATTTGCAATGAGTTAATTAAATTCAGGGATGGGTGGCGCTGCAGGTAACAAAGGTTCTGTATCACTTCGACTGACTGTGCACGCCACATCGATTTGCTTCGTGTGCTCGCATTTTGCAGCTGGTCAGAATGAGATTCGTGATCGCAACGAAGACTTCATGACTGCTCTCAAGAGGATCAAATTTCCCATGGTATTTATTGAATTTTCATTGTTTGTCCATTCCTTGATGCAAGTTCCCCTTTGTCGATTTTCGATCGATGTGATTTTCAAACTTTTTGGTTGCAAATGCCTGTGACTCTCACGAGATATACTGGAGTAAAATAGAATGTGATCTGAAAGATTTTCCTTTAACAAGTGATTGAATTATTTGAAGGGTCGAGAAATTCTCTCGCATGATCTTATATTTTGGTTCGGTGATTTCAACTATCGTATATCGCTGCCAGGTGATGTGGTCAAAACAACTGTACGCGCCGAACAATTTGTGCAGCTTGCACCAAACGATCAACTAACCCAGCAACGTGCTTTGGGAAACGTAAACCTGCTATCGATTTGCTTCGCTTTATTCCTATTTAGTTGATTATGTTTTTCAGCAGTGAGATGACCACTTTGTTGAAAAGCACAATTTTTTTGAACATTCGCTGAGAAATTTGCCATTAAACATTCCCTTCGTTTCTGCATCTTCATTACGAAGCAGTTCCAGTTAGAAAATGTGTATCAGCAACGAATTCTTTTTGCAGCAGTTTCTACTTAGCTGAATATATTTCATTCGATTGTTTCATTTGGTAGCTTATTGTGATCATCTATGTTTGGGTAGCTTGAGTGGAAAGTTTTCATTCCTCATCAGAATTAGTGTTTGTTTCAGGCATTTATCGATTTTGATGAAGGCACTCTCAATTTCGCACCTACTTACAAGTACGACACGTTCAGTGATGACTATGATACTTCAGAAAAATGCCGAGCTCCAGCATGGACAGATCGAGTGTTGTGGAAAGATGCCACGAAACGTAATGCCGTTAAATTGGAATGGTATACATCTGATAATTTATCCGTTTTTTCATCGTTCTGGGTTCCTCTCGAATCAAATTTGCTTACGTTTATTTCGGATTGATCATAAAAATGATAAAATGCACAATTTTTATATTGGTAGGTTTAGGATGCACAATTTTTATATTCGCAGAAACGTAGAACTTGCTCATATGTTGTGCTGATTTATAGGTATGGCCGATCAGAACTGAAAACATCTGATCATAGACCCGTGAGCGCTGTATTTCGAGTCGATGCATTCGCAGTGAATCCAGAGAAATGTAAAACTGTTTATGACGATGTACTCAGGTGGTGTACTGAACATTTCAGTTGTCTTGTTTGCTAAAATGTTTTCGTCAAGAGTATTGACTTGTGGCCAGAATATAGGAATTATCTTGTGGCCAGAATATATAGGCCGATGATTTGGTTTATAGATTTCGGTTATATCATCAAAATAGCCGTCACTGATTCATTCTTTAGTTGCACAGTATGCGATTAATCTACGTTTACTATCTCTTTATACGCCACATTTCTTACCCCTATCACCAAACCATTCCCAATATTCATAGTGTTGTGAAATCACAGTGAATCTCTCTTTTACTGAGCAATCGAATTATGTTGGGTCTTTTTTGATCTTCTTTCATTTCTGCAGTGTGTTTTACGGTTCGTTAACGTGCATGTATTTGTTGTATTAAGTGCTCTAGAGTTTAATAGTGTTATTTAGTTGTTCTGGACCACCAGATGCAACAGTTTTGGTGTCAGTCGATGGTGCAGCCATATTCCCCGTCGATCTCTACTTCGGTGTTTTAGATAAGCTTGTCCAGTTGGGTATAACTCCGCGCCTTAGCAAGTTCGTTGTAGTCCCCCTTGTTTTGTTTATTCTGGATCATTTTAATCCGTTTTATAAAAGAAACATATGAAAATGGTCCTTTCATCTACGAATTTCTACTAAAGTCGTCGTTCCCTTTTGCAGCAGTTTGGAAATGATTATTGTTGACTGAATTCAGAAGTTTTGTCGAAATGCAGTACACTCATTCTATCTGAATCGTGATTAGTTCTGTTGCAGATTCGATGGCGCTGATCTCTGGTTGATTGTTGAAGACGGTTCGATGGCTTTAGCAGCATTAAGTATGGACGGTGTACGGGTTGGTGATGCTCAAATAAATGTTCGTCTTCGATCGCCTAATTGGACGACGGAGAGTAATTTACAAATCGATGTGACGTTGCAGAATTTAAGGAGTGAAGAAGTTAACTTACACTATTCAGCTATGGAAGACATGGATCGTTTTGAATTTGATGGTTTGTTCAAATCAAATATACTTATTGCGAAATGATTTGTTTTGTCACAGAATCGAAGTAGTGAATGGTGCAGTCAGTTGATCGATAATGTTTTACCTTCAGTCATGTGATTTTCCATGTTCAATAAGTGGTTACCTAAATCTTAAAATTACAATGAATGAAAACTTTGAAGATATTGTAGAAACTAAAACTCCTTTGTATGGGCATTCTTTCACGTGACGAATGACACAACTTTTGTATATTTGCGTTTGTTTTCAGATGATGATGATGAAATGATGTCAGTCAAAATGCAGTCACAAGATATGAGAAGTGCATCACCAATGCGATCACCATTTCAAGATCGGTCGTTGGAAAACGATATGGCAAGATTGACGACATCATCTCCTCAGTCTTTGCTTATTAACAACAATGACAATTCATTCAAGCATAAATTAGCTTCTGTACCAAATATGTCTACCATTTATGACCAAAAAAGCGATTGCCAAGCGAGATCAGAGCTAAACGTGATTCCAGTGAGACCGGTACCACCCAGACCGGAATCACTTACAAATAGTAATAGTCGTTCAAATAGTCCATGGTGTATGCCCGGTGATCTACAGTCACAGGACCCTGGTAGTTGGCGTGTGCCAAGTGATCCACGCATCAATGATCCATCGCCTTGTATTGCATCTGATATTGTCAACAAAACAAACTTCCAACATGTTTATAATGATTCGACAGTCATCATCCCGGCTATTCCACCAAGGCCTCAGTTCGATTAACTCATCGATCACTCACTTTTCTTCAAAACGTTTCTTAAAACCAAATACGCATTTATTCATTCATTTGTCTTTTTTTATTTTTTAGTGCATTTCGTATTTTTGGTATCATGTGCTCCTACTGTAGGTTATTGATCCGTGTTTTATTATTTAAACTGTATTTATTTCTTCCAGTATTTTTATTTCAAAGAGAGTTTTTCTGAGCCATAATTATTCACTGGATTTTGCAATTTATCTCCTTTATTTTACTTTGTTTTAAGCTTTAAGTTGGATTTTTTCTGTCTCTTTTTTGGTATTATATACTTTATGTTTGTATGCAAACAGAAATACTTTAATATGTATTTTTCTTGTTTCTTGCCACGTGTGTGATTTTTTGGTTAATTTTCACTCATTTGGGTTAAATGCGAAATTAGCTTGTTCATTATACTTGACGTAATGTTAGTCGAGTCATGGAGGTGGTCCATTCTTGTGTGCATTTAATGCTTCACTAGTCCTCAAACTTTCAAATTATCTCTGTTCATTTGCAGTGTCCGTGTTCTAGAGTTATTTCCGAATGTAAAATTCTTGGATTAGTTGATTCTCCCATTCGTGGATAGTAGCGTAACCTCATGAATGCGATGTCATTTATATTCTTTGAAAAACTAATTCAGTATGGATGGATTGATAATTTTTAATTTCGTAGCTATTTCTCACTTTTATTGTTTATGGCTACATTTCAAGAATTTTCGCAGTAAAATAATGATAGTAAACGGAAAATGATTGAATGAACGCGAGGTTCTGTGAATTCTCAGTTATTATAACATTCCTCTTTTTCATTACATTTTCTTTCTCGATTCCAATAGAAATTTTAGTTCAGTAAGTTGCACGAATGCAACCAAAAGTCTTGATAGAAAATTTTGTTCAATGTGCCATTTGTGTATGTGTTTTAGTACATGTCAAATAATTTTCAAACTTTGTTGCTTTTGCTTTCTAGCAATACTATTTGTGTACAGTAGTGTATGATCGAAAAGCTCGGATTAATATTATATTAACGCTGCGATATGTTGTAATTTTATGAGAATTTTTTGGCTGATTCCCATGGTTGTGTCGATAAGGTTGCGCAATAATGCTTAAAGAAAACAAACGAATCAGTCATTTATAATTTCCTGTCAGTTTTTATATTTGTCGCTTGTATCATATAAATTTTATTCTTAATGCAATCTTATTGAAATCTTTTATCGTCGTTAGAGTTTTGAAAACCTATTTCAGCTGATATAAAATGTAGAGAATTCCGCGTTTTGATGTCATTTTGAAAACAGTTTATTCGGAACATTGATTAAATGGTTCTTCATTATGATTGTGGTGTTTGCATTGTTCATTGAAACCACAACCATTCCAACAGTTGATCTAGTAACGTCATCAAGCTTTGGAAGCTCAACGGGATCCATCAGGATTGTCCGAACGATCCGGACATGGACAGTACTGAAAAAGGAACTCTCTTTGCTGTGTAACGTATGTTTTGACAATGAAACAGTTCAAAGGAATATGTTCTGACTTCACATGACTGAGCAATTTCAGGAAATGAAATTTGAAAAAATGTTTGATCACAAGTGTACCAAACGGGAACTTTAATATCGGAACTTTATAAATAGCTCTAGAACATCATTAGTTTGATGATATCTGTACTAGGAGCGGCATGTTTCAACGCTTTCAATACAGAGAAAAGCAAACAGAGCCAAACTGAAAGGAATCCTGTTCCAATATTTAACTAACTTCAGAATCTTCGCCGGGTCGTCCACTGGGTCCAGCTGAACCTTCTTCACCAGCTAGTCCTGAAGCTCCAGTTGCTCCTTGAGAGCCGATATCACCTTCATTTCCTGGTGAGCCAGGAAGTCCATCTGCACCTGGATCGCCGACTCCTCCTTCCGGCCCGTTATCACCTTGAGGTCCTTTCAGTCCTTGTCTAGGGATGGGTCTTTCTCCATCCATACCTTTTTCTCCAGGAGTACCAGATGATCCTTGTTCGCCTTGAATGTATCTCATTACTCAGTTTCGAGGAATGATAAAATGAATGGTACGAGGTGATTTCCATAACAGAAATCGTATTTGTGGTTTATCATAAATTATGCTAATAGAATTGAACATTTTAATGGCCGGTATATTCAAGTGATTATCGCTGGAGAGCGATCTGCATGGGTCAATGCACTGAGACCATCCAATTTGATTTTTTTTTCGAAAGCCGCAACCATATTCAAACGTTCAGAAGGTCTGCACTATGGGAATGATTCTTCATTGCTGTAAGTTCTGAAATGTACGCTCACCTTCAGTTCCAGGTGGACCCATCTCTCCTGGTCGACCAGGCTGACCATCTCTTCCGGGATTACCAGGATGCCCTGCTGCTCCTCGCATCCCCCTGACCCCCGATATGCCGGATGGACCAGGTGGGCCTGGCAATCCGGGTGGACAACGGAAGCACCCCTCAAACATTTGTCAATTAGAAAGAAAAAATGTAAGAATGGTAAAGATGCCGGACGTGAATAGAACATCAGTCCGGTACGTCCAAGTCATAATGAAATAAACCGACAGAATATGAAGGCAAGAAAAAGTGGAGAAAAGGAAAGCGACATAAAAAGGAAAGGAATGGTGAACAAAAACACATCACATTCATGTTGAATCATAGACGAACAGTATCGGCAATCCTTAAAGAGACAATGAAATCTAACTCGTAGCCTTTAATTCAAGCTGCATACTGAAAGTAGAATAATAAAAGGGGAAAATCAACCGTCAATCAAGCTGATATATGCGAATGAGGCAATTGAAATAGGATCAGTAATCCGTGCGTAGACTTTAAGGTTCTGATTATTGTTCGCTTTGTGGGTAGATCATGGAGTTACTTGCTGCCGGGAATGAATGCTGATTTCGGAGAAATGATAGTTGGCAATTCGAGTTATAACTCTTCTTGCGTGTCTGTTTAAGTGAACTAATTCAGCCTGCATTTTCTACGTCAGTGTATGCTACTACGCATTAAAAATCCACAAAATATTGTCGAAAACCAGTAACAGTGACAAATTCTTAAACCAGTTTTTTTTTCATCTACGGTGTTTATAACACTTCTCGTGTATTGTTTAAGAATTAAATCACTCTGCCTTCGTCATCACTGCTCCGAAATAACAACATCTATACGGTGACTAGTGAAAACTAATGCAGACATTTTACTGTATTGAGAGAGAAGGGAGATTAGACAACATGAAGAGTGAGAGACGCCGTATAAACCGTGTGACGATCAAGACTACCGCATTGGATTCTGCGAAGATAAAAGCATATTTGGAAGACAACATTTTCAGTATTGATAAATATGATAAGAGCGCTCAATATTAATCAGAACGTTTCTGTAAATAAACGTACCACTGCATGCGAACTTATAACATCCTCAGCATCAAACCCATCTATACCATCTTTGCCATCTAAACCATGAAGACCATCCTCACCGTTCTCTCCTTGTGAACCGGCATCTCCGGGTGGACAGTTGTTTTTAAGATTACACGCTTAAGAGAATTCTTTTGATCAGTGCTATGAATTTCAAGTGATAAAACTACAATATCACTATCTAAGTTCACAAGTACTGGTTCGTAGCGCATTCTTGTTCTGTGAAATACCCACTCGCTCTCAAAAACAAGCTTTGATGTGTATTCGTTCATCGAATTGCAATACACGTCATTTCATCGCATTCGTAAAGAAATATGAAGAATAATAAAATGCTTATTATCACTGAATTGCAAACTTACTGCACGTAGCTGCAAAACCTCCAATTCTTCCACTGATTCGACGGCCACCGCCTGATATCGGGTTGAAACTCGGCGAAATGATTGATCCTTGAATGGTGTCACCATCATTGTCTTGTTCACCGTTTGAATCACTTCCATAGCTTGCTCCATATCCACCGTACTGACGGCGTTGCCGATTCTGTGGTGTACCCGCACCTAGTTGAAGAAGGTCATTCCACAGATCGTCGGTGAGCGTCTGAATTCAAATTCACTTATACTTCATCGTCAAACAAAAGCCCAGATGCAAGCTCAATACAAGCGCACTGCTTATCATTTTACATCAATTCAACACGTTTGCATTTTGGCACTGATTCATTTTGATCATTACACATGTTCAGTAATAAATTACTTTGGGAAATATAAAAGTTCAGCAGCTAGTTGTAAAAACGGAAGAATTAAACAACCTTGAATGCAGTCATTTCATTGTCAAGCTCGGTCCAAGCATCTCTCATGTCGTTGTATATATGTAAAATCGTGCCCATGCAAACGATTAGTATTACTACCGAGAAGCCAACTGCGCCAACAGTAGCCTTCTGCATTACCATTCTGGAATGAACTTCACGTTCACAACTGTTTGCTAATGATAGGTTACATCAGTGGTTCTCACGCTCGGGTGCTCC